TATTCTTTATTTTTGTTATAGATATGAGTACTGCAGCTCCCTTAAGTAGTGGAAAAGATGAAGAATCTGAAAAGAAAGATGAGATGGATGATGATACCATGTTTACCACATTAGGCGAAGAAGATAAATCAAAGCCCTTTGTGGCCCCTCGCTGGGCCACTCGGGTATTTGCTGCTGATTGCCTGTGTCGAATCATCAATTTGTGTGAGAATGCGGACCAGGCTCACTTTGATCTTGCCATGGCACGTTCTGCTAAACTTCGAAACCCTACAAGTAAATTTAAAATCAGTACTTCTTTTCCCCAAAGTGTTTTTATATGCTTGAGATATTTGACTGCATGCTTTAGTTTGTGCCTTTCATTTATTTTAAGTTCTCTTGCCTTCTGTCCTAGTGTTCTGTCCTTTCTACATACTATCCATCTTCAGATCTCTGTTTGGAAGATAAGTCGAAGAAGGTGGTCCAAAGAGTTATACTTACTTATCTATCTATCCATCTATCTATCTATCTTAATCATTGGCCCTAAGGATAATGATGGCAGTAACTTATGTTTCCTCAGTACATTGTCCTGGTTTTAGCACTTCAGTGTGTGAAGGAAATGGTGAAACTTTAAAGTGTATAAATAAGGTGAATTTTGCAGTCCCCAGCCATGGGGAATGTCAGAATTCATGAATGCCATGCAGATTTCAAACTCTCAGATTTCAGAAATGGTATTAGATGTATATATAGGTGAAAATTGTTTATTACTGAAACAATTTTTATCTTGCTTTTTTTTCTTTTATAAGCTTTTTGTACCACATATCTCCTGGATCCGATATTTATTACAGGGAATTTACAAAGAGATCATCAGGCTCAATACCTTCATTTCACAGTTGAAGAGACCTGGAGGAGCTGAGAGAGGTGGTAGAGTAACAGACTCCCTCTCCTGTTCTTTGTTGTCTCTTCATTACTCTGTCATTTTTTAAATATCTGCAGACACATTGTATGTATTAACAATAATGAAGCCTATAAATTAAAAGTGCCTTTCAGGTTTTTAAATTGTATATAAGAAACAGCAGGGCCCACAAATATACGTAGAAAAGAAAAAGTAAAACAGTGGCACACCATGTATCAAATGTGAATCTGAATATAGGATACCAACAAAGCACAATACATCACGAACACAGTTGTCTTTGTTCATGTCATTATTCAGCAAATGATTGCTGCATCCTATTCTTTGCTATACAATGGGGATACAAAGAAGAAAGAAACAGTCCAAACCCTGGAGGAACTTCTAGTCTAGAAGACAGAGAGACTTATCAGTCAAATAAGTATGGTTTGTCCCAATAGTAGCATGATAGAGTACTTTGGGAACATTAAAAAAAATGGTATTCATTTCCTGAAAAGCCAGGGCAGGCCTCACAGAAGAGATTATTTTGAAGCTGGATTTTAAAGGTAGAGATAGGGTTTTCCAGGTAGAAGAGGCTAGTTGTAGTTTTCTATTGCTGCTGTAACAAATGACCACAAACTTTGGTTTACAACAACACAGTTCATTATCTGTAGTTCTGTAGCCCAGAAGTCTAACACGAGTCTCACTGGGCTAACATCAAGGTGTCCGCAGAGCTATATTTCTTTCTTGAGGCTCTAAGGGAAGTCCGTTTCCTTTTTCTTTCTCAGCTTTATACGCTGCCGGCACCCCTTGGCTCATGGCTCCCTTTCTCTGTCTTTGAAGCCGGCAACGTTAAATCTCTCTGTGATGCTTCTTCGGTTGTCATGTCTCTCTCTCTCTCTGATTGCAGCCAGGAACGGTGCTCTGCTTTTAAGGACTAATGTGATTAGATTGGGCCAGCCTGAATAATTTAGGATAACCTCCACGTTTGGGGGTCCATAACCTTAATCACATCTGTACAGTCCCTTTACCATGTAAGGTAACATATTCACGGTTCCGAGGGTAAGGTGTGAACATCTTTGGGTGCCATTATTCTGCCTACCACACTGGTTTATTAGAAGCAGAGAGAGTAAGAGAATTTGTAAAGCGATGGAATCATAAGTGTGCATACTATAACCAGGAAATAGTGAAAAATCCTCAGGTTGGCTTTTCTTTCTTTGTATTTCTTAACTGTTGTTTTTTTACCCTTGTCGTTTGTATCTTGTCCTTTTATTAATACCTTCATTCTCAGATCCTCATA